GAATTGAAGCTTATTTATTATTATTATTATTATTGTTATTATTATTTTTATAATGATCATTAACAGAGCTCATCCTGGTAGAGGAAACCACTCTGTGCTGAGCTTCCTTCGGGGGTTTCAAGTGGAGTTTTTTTGCTTTTTTGTGTGTTTTGTTTTCTGTTTTTTGTGGGTGCTGTTGAAGTTTCACTTCCTCCTCGGGGAAATCCACAAAAAATCTCACAAGTGTGAGCGCACACACTCCATTTGTTTGTCACCTTTTGTTTGGTCAATTCAGCATTACAAAAGGAAACAATTCAAACCTGATCTGCTTTTAGGTTTCCTCTGAGATGTTTTCCTCAGAGATGTTTCTGTAGAAATTTGAGATTCGCTAACACTGAAATACCCTGATATGATTGCCCTATTTAAAACAAAAAAAGGAGAAAATAATAACAAAAAGTGCCAACAGACTGAATAATTATAAATGATATAAATAACTTAAAATGATACAAATAAATTAATTTAGAAAGAATAACACTGTCACCCTTAAAAAACGAGCTTCCCAGAGCCAAAAGCAAGTCGAACATGCAAATCCAACCCCAAGATTTCCTTCTTAAGTGCTGAAAAAGAGGCGTATTTACAGAAGGAAATGGCCGTTTGGGATTTCCCTTTACCCCCAAAAAAACAAAAAAAAAACACCACCTGATGAGATCGTTTCCCTGCCTTGAAAATAAATTTAAAAAAGAAGAAATTTTTCCGGGTTTTTGGAAACGAGCTGCACCTGATGAGATCGTTTCCCTGCCTTTGAAAATAACAAAAGAAAAGAGGAAATTTTTCCGGGTTTTAGGACACGAGCTGCAGCTAATGAGATCGTTTCCCTGCCTTGAAAATAAATTTAAAAAACAGGATATTTTTCCGGGTTTTTGGAAACAAGCTGCACCTGATGAGATTGTTTCCCTGCCTTGAAAATAAGCGATCCGCAAAAAAAAAAAGGAGATTTTTCCGGGTTTTAGGAAACGAGCTGCACCTGATGACATTTTTCCGGGTTTTAGGAAACGAGCTGCACCTGATGAGATCGGTTCCCTGCCTTGAAAATAACAAAAGAAAAGAGGAGATTTTTCCGGGTTTTAGGACACGAGCTGCACCTGATGAGATCGTTTCCCTGCCTTGAAAATAAATAAAAAAAACAGGAAATTTTTCCGGGTTTTAGGACACGAGCTGCAGCTTCTCCACCAAAATGGCGGCGGCCAGCTCCTGGGCGTCCATCACGTAGGGGTTGTTGGTCATAATCTTCAGGACCAGGTCCGGAGGGAAAATCCCGCACAGGTTGGCGAAGGCCCTCTCCCGGAGGTCCCGGTACCCCCCCAGGGAGGGGGGCTTAGTGGGCATAGACGGGAGGGGCCGCGGGGGG